TGCGGGGGGGAGAGATGGCCGCAATTGCGCCCATGTTCCCTGCCGGAGCGCGCCTGTGTCCGCCTCCCCCCATCGCGCTCGCCCCACAACAAAGATCTTTGTTGTTCTTTGTCACTTTGCTTCAAATTGTTGTGAGTAAAAAAATAGTTGCAGAACGGATTAACCTTATTTACATTGACCCTAATGGGGAAATTTGACTTGGCTCACGACCAATTTGGGTCACAACCAGAGTCCTGAAATGGATTAAGTTTGTGAGCCAAGGTGCCCCTGTATAGCTATCTCAACATCAATTACCTCAATACAGAAGCCCAAAAGATGTTTCTTTGGGAACTTCGGCAACACTAGAACTTGCTCCTTTATGGTCCACTCCAGTGGGCAGTGCTTCAGTCTCAGCCTTCTCCACATGCACTCATACGGAGCTACCCCCAGTATAACTCATCATCATCATCATCATCATCATCATCATCGGTGTAAGAGGTGTCTCATATTTTGCAAATGAGCTGGGTCACAATTTAACTGAAGGGCTAACATGATCCAGAAAGTGAAGACATGAAATTGTTGTTGAGCAAGATGACCTGCAATGTCCCTCATCCATCTCATATAATGATATCCCCAGGTGCTTATGTCAACTCAGTTCTTGCAGATTCTTGAACCAAAAGGTGGTGCTGGGAGATTTCTGCCCCACCCTATAGCAGAAATCTTTGCATCAGGTTCCCAGAAGGTTCTCTCTTGTCTGCCATGCTGCTTAAAATCCACCTGAAACCACTAAGTGAAGTCATTTAGGGGGCAGAGGGGTGCAATGCGCTGCTGTCAGTATGCAGATGACACACAGTTCTGCTTTTTGGATCTGGGTGAGGCTGTTATTTGGCTGCTGTGGTAGCAAAGTAAAGCTCAGTCCAGACAAAACCGAGGCACTGCTAGTAGGTAGGCGTTCAGAGCAGATGAGCAGAATCCATCTGTGGAGGGAGGGGGCTGTCTTTTCCCTAAAAGATCGGGTGTGCAGCTCAGAAGTGGTCCCGCACCCATCACTGTCCTTAGAGGGTCCAGGGGGCTCTGCGACATGCAGCCCCTCTCATCGGCTTTGGCCGGTATTTCAGCTAGAACCAACCTGTGTGTGTCATGCCCTGCTAACCTGTTGTTTGAACTACTGTAAACACTGCATGTGCAGCGGCTTTGATGCGGGTCCAGAAACTCCCACCAATACGCGGAATGAAATCCTAAGAAGCACCAGGCACCGTGATTGTATCGCACAACTGCTATCTCACCTGCCCCCAGTTGCCTGCAGGTCACACCCCTTGGGTCCTCTGTCCCGGATGAAATGCCTCTCATCTTGTATGTACCCGCCCCTCTTTTAAGGTAATCTGATTTGCACTGGATTGCGGCAGTTGTATTTCAAAACATCTGGGGGACACTTAGCTTGCTTAGCTGTGCTCTGGGTAGTGTCAGCATTTTATTCGTTCTGTATTGCTGATTTTATTGCCATTTTGTTCGTATTTGTTTCTAATTTGTATATTACCTAGAAACAGTTATGTTATGAGAAATCCATTTCATTTTAATAAATGTTATTCATAAATAAATGGGATCCAATCTTAATGTTGCTCAAAGTTAAACATCTGCTTTTTTACTACAATTGCCTTTAGAACAAGCTATTTTAAAATGCAAACTTTAAAAATGCATCACCTGCACATAATGGCATCCATCCCATATTTCTCTACTAAATGGCTTAATTTTTCTAAGCCAGACTGGTCCAACTGTACATACCCTCGCAATATCCAAGCAGATCTAGGCGGATTTCTATTTTATTTGTTCCCCTTTTCTACTATGTGCGAGATTTTGTTTTTATTGTTCCCATAAAAATGTTTTTCTTTCTGTTGGCATGGCAGACTACCTTGTGAGCCATTCCATGGAGAAAAGAAGGTGTGTGTATCTGTAACTGTTTAAGCCTGTCTGGCTATTATAGCCATGCGCTTGGCATACGCTCCCACTGCTTTCTGCTATTTTAGCAATAGCAACGCATCCAACTTGGTCCACATTTCCAACATGCTTAAGGCTAGTGTGGATATTCCTAGACTTTGTCTTAGTGATCTCCCCCAGTTAAAAAAATGGTTCTGCTTCCCACCCAGTATAAAATAACTTTCCCCACTACCTAGCACTTAATGAAGAGTCCTTCGAGGACAGGAGAACTGGAAAACACTGATGAAAAATTTAATTATCTGTTAAAAAGAGCCACATTAAAACATTCAAAAAGAGGAGTACAGCCAAGAGAGGTGTGATGCCAGCCCTGCCAAAAGCAAAAAGATTTGAAAGGAAAGCTAACCCAACTCACCAGGGAGCTGTTAAGAAAAGCAAGGAGAAGAGGAAGCTGAGCAATTTTCTGAGAACTACTGAGTAAAGATTTCATTTTTAAAAACTGGTTCAATGAAAAGCTACTTCTGTGAAAAACTGACTGCTGGCATTTGTAATTCCTTTTACATTGGCACCAAACAGCATGAAGGCATCATTACTCATTTGGATCCAGGATGTAGTAAAAAGACCTGTCTGGGTGTCTCATTCAGGGCAAGATTCAATAGCCGGTGAAAAGGAAATTAAGAATGAAAACTAATCAGAACACACATTAATTAAGCCAACAGTACAGGCAACTATGTAGTCAGGCCTATGGCTGATTAGCTGAGCATGTATTCCTGTTTGGTTCAAAGAACAATGCTTCCTGTCATACTTAAAAAAACATACCCTGCTTTTAGGACGTATCCAAGACGGATGAAAGCAGTAGCTCTGAACGATTATTTTTTTAAAATTAGCTCAGAAACACAAAGATCGTCAAGAAGTATCAAAAAATGTTCGCCTCAAGAAGCTTGCAGATATGCTTAATTTAGTTAAAGATGCCAAAACCAAGGGTGTGAAATTCCTGTGGTTACTTAAGACTGAAAGTAATTGACATCCCCAATGCCATGTGAATTCTCCTGCGACAGTGCTGTAAGGGAACAAATACATGACAATAAATAACTGAACGCAGAGAGTCCAGATTGAATCAAAGTGAGCCTTAGACTCACACGCTCCCCTTCCTCAGTCCTCCTGAACAGCCACAACAAGGCAACTGGGAGCTTCGACTTTCATTTTAGGCTAATCACAGTTTAGCATATCCCCTGCAACCTAAATTGTAGTTAATCTTTACTACGGTTAGTCGGAACTAAGGACTGAACCTGGGTTATTTCAGGAGGCCATTGTTAAGACTGAACACAATTTTGTCTGAATGTGGATGTCAAAATAAAGTGTATTTAATCAAGGATGGAAGCACGAGATTCCACCACAGAGGGATGAGAAGGATTCACTGCAGCTTATTCTCAAGGCACTAAGCCGTGACATTTAGCATTTGTGTCTGGAATCAGACCATTATCGTGCAAGCACAACTTGACCCTAACATTTTAAAGCGATACTCTACCTATGGCAAGTACTGCAGCTACGTTCAACTGAATGAGAAAATTTTTACAGACTTTTGTTCCTGTTGTTTTTGTACCCAGACTGACGAAAGGAGAGAACAGAGTTTTCAAGAGTATACTTAGAAATCCCATTTTTAGCACATCTTTCATCTTTTAAATTAGGAACTGTAACTTGGAAGAATTTGAGCCAGCTGTACATTATTTCAATCACTGAAGTTATCTGCGGGGCTTTAACTGTAACAAGCAAAGATATCTGACAAAAATCTGCTTTAGAGGCTGGTGCTTAGTATATAAACTGCTTTAAGCATGGCTTTAAGAGGAACTAATATAAGCATTTCCTAAAGAAGCAAAGCACGATCCCCAAACCAATACATAAAAGTCGAGCCCTACCCTTAATCGCAAGGGGCTTTTCCTGCCCCAGAGAATGAGTTTTGGCAAGGGAGCATTTGTCATCCTGCACCCTGTCCGGCAGTTTCTTGGATGTTCTACCGACAGAGAAGCCTTTCTGAACGGCTGCATTTGAGTGAAAAGCAGAGAGCGCAACAGCACTCAACTGAAAGCAAACAACTAGGAATTTACTGGGGCCACAAATGTGGGGTAGAAAACACTGGTTAAGTCAACTTTGAAAATAAACCAAAAGGCTACAGAGGTAACTAGGAATTCCCACATACCTACTCAAATACTGGTGTTTGGAAACATTAGCCTCTCTACATGGCACTTACGACCAACCTATTAAACCCCTCTCTGGCAGAAGGTTCACATTAAAATAAGGGTGCCATTAACATGGAGGGGGAAGTCCCATCCAGAGGTTAAGAGCAGGCATTTAAACAGGGACTCCCTGGAGAAGAGCCTGATGCTGGGAACAATAGATGGCAAAAGAAGGAGGGGACGGCAGAGGATGAGGTGGCTGGATGGAGTCACTGGGGCAGTCGGCATGAGCTTAAGTGGACTCTGAGTGATGGTGGAGGACAGGAAGGCCTGGAGGAATGTTGTCCATGGGCCGTGATGGGTCGGACACGACTTTGCAACTAACAAGAACAACAACTCTGAAAAAGTGGCAGAGGACCAGTCTAGCGTTATTTCCTAAGCTCTGTGAATGTTCCTGCAGTCTCAAATTAGCAGGATTTGTCTTTCAGCAGAAATGAGCACGTCTGCACCTTCCGCAGGCTAGAAACGCAACGCAAGGAGGAACACTAACTGAATACTTCTACTGTCCATTTTTCCTGGTTGCCCAAAGCGCAGAGTGGAGGGAGGGCTTGATCTCTCCACCAAGCAGGTGGGAAGTGCTGAGCCATGCTTCCTTTCCCCTGAAGCTGAAATTACTGCAACAGAAGAGCGACATTATCGGTCTGTCAGCTATAGAGAGGGAAGGATTATAACGCACCAAATCTCTTCCACAGTAACCAATTTGCTACAGGATGATACATGTCCAAAATACCACAACAAAGATTTTTCCATGGGAGTAGGCAGGCATGAGGTAAGCAAGAAGAGCATTGCCACAGCCCAGAAAGATTTTACTGGGGGAATTCTTTCCAGCGCATGCCGATTTCAAGATAATTCACACACGGGGAGGCAGATATATTTATTTACCAAAAGAAGCAATTCCTCGTGGACAGATGCCCTGTTAGTTGAATAAACCAGTCATCTTCATTCTTCTTCTTAAAGTCAAGAAACGGTTCAGCACACCGTGGGAGCGAGTGTGCGGTAAAGCGGCCATCTCTGCCCTCAAGTCTGGCCGCATCTCTGTTGAAGCACGTATTAACCTGGGCGACTCCACTCAGTGGCTTCGGTCATGGCAAAAGGAGACATTTTCCTTCAATCAGTAACAATGACTGAGGTGCAAAGAAGATGGGGCTTCTGTCAAAAGTATTATCCAAGTGTTTATTAATGCTGAAGTCCACACCCGATTATAAAAACAATCCTTTGCATGCATAGAATATATATTGTTTATTTATTTTATCTTTTATATTGTTTATTTATTTTATGTTAATTTTAATTTTATATTGTTTATTTTTGTATTTTATTGTATTTTATTGTGTTGTAAGCCACCCTGAGGCTTCGGCAAGGGGCGGCACAGAAATGTTTTAATAAATAAATAAATAAATAAAAATAGAAAATGGGGAGGGCACACGGGTTGTGATATGGTACACAACTTAACCCGGAGGGGTGGGGGCACAGCTGCAATCAATAGCATTGGATTTGGGTTGGAAACTCATATTCAAACTGTGCTGCGTAGTCGTAACCACAAAGCTGAGCAGGCATATCCGAGTCGCTGTTTCTCAGCTTTGCCGATCGCACAGGATAGCCGTGTGAAAGGCCGTAAGCTCATACATTCCCACCACCCAGCTCAAGAGTGAAGGCGGGATACAAATGTGGTTGTGATTGTTAAAATAAAAATTTCAGCTTTGAGCAAATGCCAGACCAGGAATTTCCTGAGATATAGAACATCAGCGCCATGGAGAACAAAGTCATGGGAAAATTATCCAGCAAGGTCTGTAGATGTACTAGAAAAAGGTTTACCATGGTCTCTTGTTCAACCCATTGCAAAACAAGCACAGCTATCACTATAAGAGCTAATGACCTCTGCTTTGTTTTTATTTTTTATTTAGAAACAGCACAAATAGTCCTAGTATTTATCTTAATCAAACCCCGTTAACCAGGAAGCCTTCTTAAATCTATGAAAGGTAATTTAGCAAGAACCTGTTATATTACTCGGGTTGGCCAGTTTCCTTTTCATCAGCTCTTATGTACATAGCCACCTCTGTACTGTGCTCCAAGGCTGTTTACTGGCAATTCTCTCTCTCTCTCTCTCTCTCTCTGACTCTCTCACACATACACACAATATTTTGTTTCTCCTTATCCTTTGCAAAAGTACCACACATGGAGGTAGCCTGCTCTTAAAAGTAATGACAGGTTTACAACTCCCATCCCTACAAGGAGTGAGGCAGACGGTCAAACTTACTTCATATCATACTAGATTTATGTGGCACAAGGAAGAAGAAAGGGGAAGGGACCGTTTCCAAGGACCCAGGCATCCCGTTCACAAGAGTACAGCTACTGAGCGGAACTGATTCTTGTTGCAGTTGACTATACAACTTCACAAATGCCTGCTCACGCTTAGATGTTAAGATTTGTTTTTTAAAAATCACAATCACTGCCTAGCTAGAAGAACAATCGGAAAATGCTCCTTTCCTTCCAACAAGAATCTGAATTCCCAATTTGAATCAAAAGGCTTCACTATACTGAAAGCAAGCCACTAGTAAGATTGCAATGGCATAAATAGCTTGCAATCATCAAACTAAGATCCACCTTGATCAGTAGGTTATTTATTAAATGTTATAATCCACCCTCCCTCCTATCATACCTTTATCCTCCCAGAGGGCAAGACTGAGCAGCTCAACTCTGTCAGACTCACATGTTTTCAGCTATCACAAAAGCCACATGTAGCGTATAATCAAGAGAATGGTGAGTCTCCAGGCCTTCCCTGCCCATCACAATAAGGATTTGGCTGGCTCAGCAGCATTCCCAGGGACCCTCCCTCCTGCCAAATGGAGAATGTTTACAGCTGCCTCCATTACTGGGCACTGTCAGCTGCCTGTTGACCAAGCAAAAGCACCGGCACACACAAACACGCTGCCTGGGTTGTGCCCACTGCTGCTCCGAAGAATTACTGGGACTCGTTGCACCGTTCTCCAAATGACCCATCTGACAAGGAAATATCCCGTGAGACGTTGACGTAGAAGTCTGGAGCAGCATGGAAGCCTGAAGAGGGAGAGATGCCGCGAGCACCAGAGGCCGGATAAATCCCTCGCTTCAGAGAGCAGGTGGCAGAGACTCGCCAGAAGAGCCAGCGGCCAGTCCGGCTGGCCGGAGAGCTTGGCCCTGCCTTGCGGAGAGGGGCTCTTCCTCGCAGTCAGGAGGTGTGGCGTGGGATGCGCTGCCTCTGGGGCCACTGCCATGCAGCACCTTGCGCTGAAGGCCTCTTCCGGCATGGTGATGAAAGGAGAGAGAGGCCTGCAGCCCCTGCTGCAGACAGGGAGGAAGAGGGCGGTTGGTCCCGGCTGCAGCTCGTAGGTGCGGGTCAACGCCTCCTTCCAGGGCCAGGTGATGCTCTCAACCCCAAAGGTGGCTGGCTGAGCCCTCCGGTGACCCCCGGATGCTCACCCCAGGACCACAGGTTGGCTCCCAAGCTAAAATGCATGGGCATTCTGGCTCTGCCCCTCCTGGTGCTGACTGCGCCCACAAGCAGAATGTGGCCCTCCAAAAACATCGCCAAAATGGACACCAGCCTGCTGGCTGTACGATGTTCAAAACCCTTGCTTGAGGAGAAGAGGAGGGACACAGACAGACAAAATATCCAGACAGTGCCTCGTTCAAATGACACAGTGGTCTATTATGGGATAATTAACTCTTCAGGGGCTGCAGCAGTCATCCCCCATTATACCCCCTCCCAACTGGGGGTTGCCCTGTGAACCTGGCCAGGGTCATTCAAGGGTTAAACAACCCTCATGTAACCCTATGAGAGACCATGTGAAGAGTTTTTGCTGAAACTGAATTCACTAATCAACTATGTTGTCCAGTCTCACTTTAGACAAATGTTTCAATTTACAGAACCAAAATGTGTTGATCAACTGCTAACATTTGAGTTAGAAAAGCATCTGACAGGTAAGAATAGATTGTAGGAATTACCATCCTCTGTTTTCTGCCTTGAATGTTGATATGCCAGCCTGTGATGCATACGAAATATTCACTCATTCATTGGCATTATCAAGAAACCCTTTCAAAAAAAATCTGCAGTCAGATCAGGTAGGAGAAAAAATTAATCAAGAGACCAGATATAACACAGGGCAACGGAGCGACAGGCATTTATTGACTTTCCATTTTCTCATCAACTAAAGTTGGGCTTTTCATCAGCATCTCGCTTATGCTCTAAATTTATCCATTAGTATTTAGCTACCAGGAGAAACCATTATCCAGCAAGTGAAATGCTTATTTTTCTAGGCCCAAATCAACAACAGGATAATTTTTAGCAAACTAAATTCTCTCAGTGTCTAGACTTAAGCCTGTCCTCTAGACTTCCGAGATAATATTTAGAATTTCAAGCACATTCTAGTCAATTGTTGTGAATAAAGACTTTTTGCATTTGTTCCGAAATCACTTCTAAGGGCATCCCTTCTGTTGCCACTATTCTCTTTTGACAGAGACATTGAAAAGCACAAGGGCTTTTGCTCACAGACAAAAGGACCTGAGCCTGAGAGCCCCACACGGACCTGCATACAATTCTCATTAACTCTTTATGCCCAGGGCCTGAAGCTGTTCCTTCCCATAACTCTAAAGGATGGGAAGGACACTCAGAGTCACTGCAGAACACACTGACTAGCCAGGTTGCCTCAGCTCAAGGCTACTGAAGTCCTTGTTGTCCTCTCAAGAGCTTTTCATTCAAGAAATATTTTTAATAGTTAGCTGCCTTAATGGTGTTATTAAGATCTCCTCAGTGCAGAGTTATTTTATATATTGTTGTTGCCAAACCCATTATTGTATTGGTTTATTATGTTTTATTCTTTAAAAATGTTTTATTTATTTTAAACTGATTTACCTGTTATAATTGTAAACCGCCCAGAGAGCCCTACAGGCTAATGTGGAGGTACAGAAATGTATTAAATAAATCAATAAGTAAATAATACTAGAACTGCTATGTGCAGCTGTTTTTCCTTCAGCCATATCACCCCAATTTAATTTCAGGATCTTAAGAATAAATTTATAGCATAAACTGAATTCAAGTACAGAAAAGAAAATAAATCTTCAAAAGCAATTGCTACATGGTAATACACCTTTAAGTGGCTATTAAGTGGCCTACATTCTAAAAAGTATCCACAATTTAAGTAATATTAGGGGAAAAGACAAAAGAAGTGCATGCTAATTAGAAGTTGAAATATCTTTTTACCATATAATCTGGTCTCTGAATCTTATCATTTTGACAAGCAACCCAGAATTTGAAGTGTCATTTTCTTGGTAGAAAGACAGAGTACAAATTAAACTCACAAATAAATAGCTGCTTCTGTAAAGATGTGTTTTCAGTTGCACAGTTGTATTTTGTGCAACTGAAAACACATTGCTATCATGCAAGCAGCATATGAGATCCTTTGAATATAATTCTAGGTCTTTAAAGGGTCTTACTTTAAAGAATCTCAAATATTTGGGCAGCACCAATATGAATAGATAAGATAGTCGGTTGAAAGAGAAAATATATTGTCAGTACAACATATTATTATCACTTGGTTCAACCAGCATGTCTGGAGTGTTAAAAGGTTTTGCAGTTACAGCTCTACTTGAGGGAACTAAAATCAGTTGCACTACCATGGGTACAGTCCAGCACACGTTCAAAAAGCATCAATAAACTCCAGCATTGCCCAGAAAGCATGGACGTCTGCAGAATGCCAGGAGTTGTAGGCCTTGTCTTCTGTCTAAACATGCGTAGGATTGCACCCCAAATATCCCTGCTGCGTGTGTCTTAAAAACAGTGGCATTTCCACATATTCCTGTCTTGAACAAACATCTAAAAATTTTTAAATTTTTAAAATTTAAAAAATTTAGGGTGAATTCAACAAACCTTACCTACTTCAGCTTATTAAATTCCAATTGCACTAGACCTGCTAAAAGGGTGGACATTGATGGAACCATGTTCAATAGCTAAGCACACCATAGCAGGATATGTGACTAAGAACATTCAGCTTAGTATACTTCAATAATAACCGCATTATTCATACAACAAGCTTGTAAATTAGATTAGCCTAGAGCCCAAAATTACGCAGTGAGCTTCATGGACAAGCGGGGACTTGAACCCACGTCTCTCCAGTCCCAGTAGCAGAGTTAGCAGAGTCCAGCTACTTACATATTGCTGCTACAGCAGCCCCTGTGGAAGCTGCAAACTTCAAGTTTTGCCTCTGATATCAGACTCTTCCCAGACCTGAGACTTATTTGGCATTGCTACATAATTTGCTATCAATGCTAATCCAAGCTTTTTTGGATTAGTGGGACTGGTAATTTAATTAGTGGGATTGGTAATTTAATCCCACTCCCCAAACATATTCTATAAGCACCAACCACTCTTCTACGCAGTGATTAGAGGCAAGGATCAAACAGCTATAGCTGAACCTAATGCCCAAGAAAGAGAGACAATATTGTGCTTTTCCACCTCTAAATCTGGTTACTTTTGTGAGAAAGCGGAAAATATGACAAGCAAGCATCCCCTTATTATCCCATCTCCACTTTTCCACCAATAGAAATGGTCTGGCTACGGCAGGTGGGATTCAACACGCTCACCTGCTTGCCTGTTCAAATGTGTTTTCAGTTGCACAGGATAGCTGGCTTCTAGCTGTCTGGAAGTCAGTGCTTACACACATTTTACTTCAAAATATCAAAGCAATAATTGGAGAGAAAAGATTTAAATAAATATTTTAAGAGGAGCTATCTAATGACAGTCCGGAATGTAAACCAAAGCTCTTTGGTCAAGTACCCTGTGTTCGTGTACAGGAATGCCATCCAGTGTTGAGCGGCTCCTGCCGAGCAAACTCAAGTGTGAAGACGGCCACTAAGAAGCAGTAAGCAATTCATTTGAAGAGCAAAAGAGGAGCGTTCCTCTGAGCGCTGGAAAGGAAGAATGACTGGCTTTCCTTTGTTTCCTTCCTTCTTATCCTTCGCAAGATGGCCTCAACAAGTGCTTTCTGCTATTCAGTCCGCTTTTAGGATCAGCAGGCTTTGGAACAGAAGCTAGCTACCAGGGAAAGATGCTGTCCCTTCCATGTAACATGGGAAATCTACATGGTTCCTGTAGAAAACACACCCTGCACAAACACACAGCTCTTCAGTGTTCCAGGCAGATGCTGAAATGCCCACTTCCAAGAAGCAAAGGGACTCTCCATGAAGCCACGTGATGATGGCTCCGTTTTCAGCTGAGTCATGGCCAGACAAAAGATTTCAAAACTGTGCTGGAGGTGGGAGGATACAAAAAAGAAAGCAGCACAAATCTAAATTGGGAAGCAGCCTTTTAAATGACCATACCGCCAGTGGAGCTCTTGGCAGTGGCCAAAGCAAAGGCAGATCCGACTGCAAGGAGTTCTGCACGCTACCCTGATGCAGTTTTGTGGGATGGAAGGAGCAGTTCAGGCACCTTCCAGCCTTGCTGATTAGAACATGCCCACTTTGTCCCATCGAATATAAAAGAGGCCAGCTAGAATCAAGGTAGCTGCCTTTGCTCTGGATTGTTCCTGTTACCAGCCGGCTCTCTGCCTAGCAAGATGTTGGAGAGTGACCGAGATGGAACTCAGAAACTGGCTCTTCCACATAGGTATTACCTGCTAGGAACAAAGGCAGCTGCCCAGCTGCCAATACAGAGCGAAACAATCAACTCTAATAAAGTGAATGCAGAGCAGATGCTCGTCCATCAAGGCTGCAAAATGAAAACGGGCACAAGCTGTGGGGACGGCACGATGCAATGGCTGTCATTAAAGCATGTTCTCACAAGTATCGTGCAGCCAGACCATACGACCACGACAAACTTTTCGGCAGTTATTCAGGAAGGATTTTATTCAAAAGTGATCATTTGAAAGGTTATCCAAAGTAAAGTCATTTGTAACTGGTTTTAGTAAGCCACACGAAAGGAGAAAGGCCTACGTAGCAGAGGAGTTTCATGCAGGTTGCATAAGACAGCTGGCTTCTGGGGTGGACTCACGCTGACCGCTCTCTGTGCAGCTCACGGGACCTGAGGGTGCCCTGCCGACTTTCCTACGCTAACAGCCGATCAGCCATTAACAGGGAGGCGGAAGGAAGAGGGACGGATCTTTCCCCGCTGCTGTCAGGAGCAAGGAAACAGCTGCCTCGGTCGGAGTGCTGGGGGAGAGGCTCGTACGTGTGGGGGAGCCAGGCTGCCTAATCACAGGGAGGGAACGTAGACCAGGGTGGCGTTGTTTTTTCCTCCATGCATACCTATCATGTGCCAGGGGAATTCACCCAACTAACCTCAGCGGCGTGTGCTCCTGGGTCTTGCCAAGCTGGCCAGAGGGGCTGGCTGCCATGGCGATCGCGCTGGCCAGAATCCACAGGCTGCTGTTCGGTTCTGCGTGGCTTGTCACTCAGGGGTCAAGCCACCTGGACCAGGTTTGCATGACACAACAAGCCGCATTGCTGAGGACACCTCTGGTATATGGGGAAGATAAAATAAGTGACTGTAGCTTATTTCCCTTCCGTGATTGCAGACGCCTTGCACACACGTGTGTGCACGCGCACACATGCAAATGCGTGTGTGCACACCGAATGCAGCCTCGGAACCAAAAAGGTTTTGGACGACTCTACAGACCTTTCACAATGTTCCAGTCACGCAATTATGCTAATCTTCTCTACACCTTCTCAGACTGAGCTTCTTTTAACCACCCTCTACCTTAAGTCCTGTTGAATCACACCAAAAGTCCTTCCCGTCCAATATCTGGTCTTTAACAGAGGTAACCATAACGTCTCTAAGGTGTCATCCCTTCATATCTCAAGGCTTCTTGGTTTAGGGGAATAAAATACAAAGTAAATGTGATCAAGAGTCACACCCAGGAAGAAGAAAAAAATTTCTTCTGTGTTCCTAAAGCTAGAATTCATTACCCAATGACACAGCAGATCCTGGACAACCAAAGAAAGTTTCTCTACACAATGCGTAGTTTATGACATCCAATGCAATGATGCAAAAGCACTGACTCAGATGACATTAAAAGGGTTTAATCATGGAAAATGGATCTGTCAACAGCCATTCACCAATGGAACCAAATGGAATGTCCTTGTTCGGAGGCAGCATACCTGAGAATCAATTGGAGGGGAGGGGGAATTGGGAAAGACAGTCTTTTGGCTCTGCTTTTTTTAGTTTTGTGGACCAAACTGGCTGGCTGCTCCCAGAAAACGGATGCTGCTGTAGATGTGTCTTGTTCTAATCCAACAAAGCAATTCTTGTGTTAGTTTTCACCCCCATTTCATCTCTACCCAAATTCAGAGTATTTGATTTATGTAAGAAAAAATTCACATGTCTGAGGAATGAACTGCCTTGACAAATGAAATTACTCAAACTGCTGTAATTAAATAGACCTTCTGGGGAACAGTATGGTGAGCATACCTCATCTCTTACCGGCAAATTCCTTTGCTCCATAAATTGCAAAGCAGACAACAGGTTGTGCATTTATCAGCAGGACAAGTACTCCGCCATGTCATTGACATTTACAGTGCAATTCCATATGTGTCTACCTTGAAGTAAGCCCCAACAAGTTCAATACGTCTCCCAGATAAATATGGGATCAACGTCTATAGAATTTCAGCCTTGATGTCCATTTTTGCTACAGTCCTAGCTTTTCAAAATACTGCAAGTTCTTTAAAGTTCAAATTACTGATTACTTTTCAATATTCTAGTCCACCTTTGGCAAAAGCCAGAGTCAATCAGGAAGAACAATGTCTAACTCAAGGCACAACTAAACAAGATGGTCTTCGCCAATGAGCAAAAAGTCTGAGAGGAAATTGGTATGACAGAGGAAGGAAGCCTAAGGGATTTTCAAAATCCAGGTACAACATCCAAGAAGTCTGTTATAATTCAGCAGAACAGGAAATGGTCAAGAATGCAGGCAGTCAGCCTTGAATATCCATGAACCTGGTCCATATCCAGGGCAAGCTGGACACTGGACATACTTGCAGATGCAACAATCACAGATCTAGATGTGAGCAATCCACAACGTGTTTTGCCAGCTGGTCACACCATGCATACAGGTGGGTCTCTGCACCCCACGTAAAGACCTCACGAGCCCCTTGCCACCCCAAAAAGCTCGACGGAATGCCAAGCTGTGGTATTGCAACTGTTGCCACCACCCTGGAGAAGGCCTCACAGCGAGCCCACACAAATCTCTCCCTGTTGCTCCTCCAGCTGTCACAGTCATACTCTGTCAAGTTTTGCATTAGAGGCCAAGGTACCTGCTCCCCACACCATCCCAGTGCACAGCATAGGTTGCTGCAAGAGCTCCCGTTACTGGGAGACCGGGGGAGCCAGACTGCCTTAAATTTTGTCATGACTTTCTTAGATGATGCTTGGGGGGGGGGCTTATTAAGGACCCCCTGCTGTTCCTGCTGCCCATCTCCATTATTTGAGCACTAGTTTTCTCCCACACATCTCTCTTCAACTTCTAGAAGGTAATAGCAAGGATTCACAAAAATCTATTATACGGAATGCACTTGTGTTAAGATTCCCCCAAGCAGAAAGGCGACAGCGAATTCAGAACTCATTTTGTTCCTAGACGAAAGGCAGGCAAACCAAAGGCAAAAGTGGACAGCACAAAGCCGGCAGTGCTTCAGCTCTCCAGAAAAAGATACAAAAGGAAGAAAAATGACACATGCTTTCCACTGGCGCTGGTCCTTCGCAAGCACAAAAGCTTCAAGTGGCAGGTGGGTAGGGAAAAAATTCACAGGTCATCCAAAGTCAACATAAGCTACATCTGACTGCATTAATCTCAGACAGGAGATACTACTGTTTAACAAATCTACATGGGATTAATTTGAATTTCATGAGCAACCAGTGCTTCCCTGCAGGATTATATAAAAGTTCTATATATCTGTAATATACTTTGGCAGAAATTTGGAAAACTCAGCTAGACTAACAAACTACAAAAACTGTAACAGCACATTCCATAAACAGTGCATCTCAATTATATCCAGGATAATATTTTAAATAATATATTTCAGTTCAGCATGGAATACACTGTTCAGTATCTCATGAAGATAGATGTGTGTACGCACACCAGAACAGCTACAATATTACTCTGGTAAGTCTCATGAAATCTGCAACCTTGCCATGAAATGTGAGCACATTTTATCTGAATTCAAGTTTATCTGAATTTATTTCTCATGGACAGGAGAAGCTCTGCAACGTCTGCAGCCTGTTCCAGATACATACAAGGACAATAAAAACACAGTTGCTTGCATGTATGAAAAGCTATACAAACCCCTAAGTGTACATAAAAGACCCCAACAGGTTTGGCCCTAGGGGAAGACTGTAGCATGGGAAACGTTCTAATTTCATATCCTTTCTTCATTAACGTCCTGTCCCGATTTGGTGGCAAGTTGCTAGGTAGGATGAGGACACCAGTCTTCTGTTTTACTGACAATTCACAAGAAGACTTACCAAGTATTTGCTGATTCCTAAGGAAACGTAACAAGAAGGACACTTATTCGTGATTCCCAGATGCATTTCTTTGGGGAAAGCATTTTTAAAAGCTGAATATGTATTGCCATCCTGTAAGAACATGGACTACCTGTCTACCTAGCATTTTTTTTCCTGAAAACAACATCTTGTGCAAATAACCAAGGGAACCCAGGAAGCCACGTTATTTCACCACACAGAACACGACAGCCACTCTGCACATTCGGCTTCCCATTCCCATTTTAACCAGTTTTCTTTTTTCTTGTTCTGTACTGACTTCATAAAGGAGATTACACAGAATGACAGCAAGTGCAGTGTGCAAAGTGAATTCAATCTGAACGTGGTACCCGCTGGCACTGAATCTCAAATGCTTAGGAAGAGACGCCATGCATACAAAAAGTACCTCTACCAGGATAATCTCTGCCCAAGGGTGCTTCCGTTTTGCTCTCTGATGTGCAATAGAGGAAAGTATATTAAATGAAATCTCAAAGTACTAGAAATGCAAAAATGCACCCCAAATTAAATAGAAACAGAGTAATGACTCATTAACAATTCATATTATCTTGGCGCACAAGAGTGGGGGGGGGAGGCAGAAAAGTAAATTAGTTACACTGTGGGCTGTTGGGAAAAACCCTGCCTCCGCTGAGTGCCAGACTAGATGGAATATTAAGCACACCATCACTTCCATCATTGTGTTCTGTGTAAATATCAGCCATTGGGGTGGAGGGGGGAAAGGGTTTGATTTGGGTCTGGAAGACAGGATTTTGTGGCCTTCATATACTGTTTTCCCATCAGGAATTATACATACAGAAATCCCATCACACATCTCCTTCAAGGTACCATTTAAGGAACTGTCAGCTCTGGGGGCAAACTGGAGCTCTGAGCGGATGAGGTCCCAAGGACTGCTTAGGCAAGGCATTCTAAGATAACAACAACTACTGTTACCAAAAGCAGCTTTGGATAATAGATATCCTGCCAAGAAATATACTGCTATGCTATTCACAGGATGTGAATTCCTGTTTGTGATGGCTTGTGGAACTTCATCCTTGATAGTTTAGATTTGCCAGATGGCTTGGACTGACGTCGAATCTTGGATTTTTTTGATGCCTGGCCCCATGTAGCATGGAAAAAGCAAGGTGAAAGCCATGATGGTCAGTCAGTCTGTATGAGGTTTTCTCTGGACTTACCGGTGAACTTCTTTTGACTCGTGGATGTGACAGGCCAGGACTGATATAATGTGAATGTTCAAATGAAGATTCCCGGGGTTGGAGTAAACCTTTGCACGTGCAGCTTAATTCTGCTCCTTTTCTAGCAAGAACGCTTGTGTTGGATCGTCTGGGCTACACTCGGGCATCCTTCAGTTTCTCAACCTGGACTGTGAGCGGTGATGATTCCAAAGGGCAAACCGAGTTGCCCAGATCTCAGACAGCTTACAGATTATGAGCTGTGGATTGTTGTAAAATTACTTAAAGGAATTGCTGTGAAATTATCACCAGCTATATGATTTCATTAAGGTTTTACTGTAAGATTTGCTGCAATAAAAGTGTCTCACCAATTTGATGTGTCCTGCATCAAAATTCCCAGAGGGTGCACTTGTGAGTTTGGGCCCAAAACAAGAGGAGGTGCCTTACTGAGGACTGTGAGAACCTGTGCACACTGCTAGCCCCTCTGCAGCCCTCCTCCATTTGCCTTTCTTCCAGTTGGCATTTATTGTATCAGAGCCAGAAGTACTCGCTGTCGATATCTGGGCTGCTCCGGTGACCAGAACCAGAAGAACGACAACCATGTTCGCACGATGGGCCCCAGGCCCTGCTGGAGCTCCCAGCCTCGTCCTGGGAGACCTTGGGGAAGAGCTAGACAAAAACTGGCCTCCGAAACACAAGCCTTCCTCTCTGCTGTAGTACCTGCATCCTACCTGACCCTTGCCAGGTTGCCTCGGCATCACAGGTCCTCCTGCTTGCTGCAGTGCCTGCATTTTGCCTAACCTTTGCCACTCATCCTGCCCAGTTATCCTACCTCAAGGTGCTCCACCGGTTTATCTTCCTGTTTCTGACCCTTGGCTTGCCCATGACTTGTCTTGCTCCTATTACATACTCCTTGTTCCTGGCCTCAGATCGCTCTGTGATTATAACTTGGACTTGCCATGAAGCCTCGCATTAAACTTTGGACTCTGTCTCGCCTCAAGCTTTGTTGCCCTGGTCCTGGTGCCTCTGTCTTGCCTCAGTGGCCTGGGACCCTGACACTCACACAGAGAAACTGCAGAAGGCAGCTCCCCCCCTGCAGACACTGCTGAGGAACCCCTTTCCACACAATCAGGTTATCAGAGCAGTTCCATTCAAAAACACAAAGCAGCCTCCTCTAATTTGGCCCTATCAGAGCTATAGCATCAGTACTCATCAGTACCCATTAATTCTGCCAGAGGTACAAAAGAAAGGACTACCCATACTTACATGCACACTAAAAAGACAAATAAGGAAGGCTTTCTGAGTGGATGGCAGAAATCAAACGCAGATCAATTCAGTTCTAAATGTATTGCACCATACAGAAGCAGGGACCAAATGCACATCTAGCCAATTCACACCTGCTCCAAAATACCAATGAAAAGGGAGCATGTACAGAAAATACACACTTTAAAAGGAGGTAGATCATAGCCAGCTGCTTCACACTCATCATTTGGAAACTTTCTGCAGCATAAGAAAAATTAAGATTGAATAGCTTAATGCCAGGTTTCCCAGATCAGTACATTTTGGAACACAGAACATTCTTTATTAAGCACATATAAATTATGCGCACACACACACACTGCTGTACCACAAAGAATTCCTGCAGGGCAGAAATTGCCCATACCAAATTAGAAAGATAATAGTAGGAACACGAACTGAGAAGTCTGCAGTTCAAATCTCAGCTCAGCCACTAAGTATTTTACTTTTTATTAAACAGCCATTAACTAGGTAACATTTTCTCAGCCTCTGCCTCCAGTAAGAGTAAAGGAATAATGCTTCCAAGTTTGTTCCAAGGCATGGCCACAAATACGGACAATGCTAGTCTGCCATTGACCAGCTGGCTGGCACGCGCTGCTTGTTCACTCCTGCTCGGTTCCTCCTGTATGTCAGGAGCAATTCTGATTACAGGAACTTGCCTGCAAGAAAAAGCATTAACTCCAAACCTGATTCATGGCTTGTGACTCCCAAATAACCCAGGGATAGGCATAACGGTGTGCACTCTTCTCCTGGTCAGTCCCACTGAAGTCATTGCTGCTGGCAGGAAGAGCCGAGGGGCAGGAAAAGTCCACGGAAGGGCATCTCAAACATTTAACCATGACTAACTGTAACACTTTTAAACTTGACTTTTTCTTGACTGGAATTTTCTTCTGCGCAAATACTGCACTGTTCTGTTTGTTTTGTAATATTTGTAATCATTATTCTTTCGTAAGCTGTCCTAAAATTTCTTATTAGCCACTACAGGGCAAATATAAATTGGAGACAAGTAAATAAATTATTCCGATTATTTTTAAGGCAGAACAGGGGAACCTATGAAGCCTTACTTTGCACCACTTTTTCCAGCATGTCATCTTACACGCCCATAACCTGCTGGGTATCACTGCAGGTCTTGCTTCAGTTGAGCATTTATCCTTTTTTCAATGCTAACATAAGTGATGCATCATACTTGCACAGATATGAGATAGATACCTTTTCAATAAAGTCACTAACGCGATAGAGCATATACAGTTTCCCCTTATTAATGAAGGCAGAGACCTTGCAGTGCATTTGTATTCTCGTGCAAATGCCTGTTCAATGCCAAGGCTTATCGGCTCAAAAAAGTGTCATTGTCGCGCAGCACAGTGATGGAGTATCAGCTACGTATCTGCCAGCTCTTGCAGAATCAAGCTTATACTTTAAAAAGACACTGGCCACAAAGATTCCAGCTAAGGAATGAGTCTAAACTAGTTTATTCCATTTTCCCACTGTAGTATGAACTCTCTACTCTTTCTAGTACTTCAGTACTAAATGACATAATCAGTGATGAGCTATGCCCAAGAAAGTATATTGATAAAACATTACCGTATTGCAAAGTTATAATGATAATAATCTGTACAGCACTTAGAGAACTGTGTGTTCTATAGCCAGTGCCATGTTTTCCTAACTACAACAATATAAGGCAGTTACTGTTTGGGTCACTGCTTTGCTTAACAAAATGGCGAGCAGGGCAAGATGCAATTGAGGTAGACCAAATTATGCATGGTACAGCAAAAACAGATAGCAAGACATTTTTCTCTTTCTCCCATTATCCTAGAGCCAGGGTCATCCCATGCGGCTGGATGATGGCAGGTTCAGGACAGATAAAAGAAAGTACTTCCTGGCATAGCACATATGGGTACATACGAGTATTCCAGCTGGCGCTAACTGGAATGTGTGTCACAGGGTTGGAGACAGGTTCCAGGAATGGTGCAACGCTGACGGAGGACACTCGGAGCATCTAAGAGATCAAATGTGACCTGGCCAGTTGTTGTATAACTCTTTTTGGTCCACTCTGAGGCTAAACTATGGAATTCGCTACCACATGTAGTGATGGGCAGCCACCAACTTGGATGGCTTTAAAAAGGAAGTTAGACGAAGCCACAGAGGATGAGGCTGCCCGCGCCTACTTGTCCCAAGCGTGAGATGCCACCTCTGAAGTGGTACGGAAGACATGAGGGACACAGCTGGGAAGGAGCTGCTGCATTCACATCCTATTTCTGGGCATCTCACAGGCAGTGCACTGTGCGAACAGAATGCTGCTCTAGACGAACCCTTGAGCTGATCCAGAACGGTGGCTCTTAAGTCCTGAAGCATGTGGGTGACTCTGCAGTTGCCGAATGAGCAGAGAAAACAAGCAAAAGTGTAACGAATGAGGCCTGCCATAAGCACGTGTCATTTGAGCTTCAGCAGGTCTGAACTTGGTGTTAGGCCCAATACTGAATTCCCAACCACTTAGAAATAAACTATCAAGCTTTACACAGAAAACTGACAAAGTGCTACTTTAATACTTTGTTCTTTCTAAACCATTTTTTGAAAAACAGTTAAGTGACTATTCATCTGAGTGACTATCTCAGTAGACTTGTGATTAATTGACCACGAGTAAAGAGGGATAATGAAATCTTGGTTCTTTCTTGCTGAATCTGTAGTCATGCCATCGAATAAGCACTTGTGGTTTTTAATGTGTCACTGGATTATAGTTCAATTTTTTTACATCCAAAAGGGTTTAAGCAAACAAGCTAGAAAGTTTGTTTCATTGCAACCTGGCTGTGGGGTTCTGTGAAATAAACAAACAAACAAACACACACACACACTTTAAAAGGCAATCGTATTAAATGAAGCCCAACATATTGTGACCTTTCAGTATGTTAAACTGACAGCCAAGTAAAAATTCAGCATTAAAGATGAACTCCAAATCTTATGTCTTATATGGATTAAGCTTAACTTTACTTGAATGTTCTCTGCCGTTCATCCTCTTAAAGACACAAGACTAATTACTTCTATACTTAGGGTTATTAGGAAAGAATAGTAATAAAAGAGAACCAATCCTATCCAGCCACAGAGCATGGAATGTCATGCAAAAAAGGGAAGGGGGATTTTTTCCCTCATTTTTCCCCCTTTTTTCCCCATAGGGAGCTTCAGTCAGTAAATAGGGGAGCTACAGCTTGCCTTCCTTGACTTTGGGAGACTCAGTGTGACCAACTTTAACACCCTTGTTGTTGACTCACCAAGCAACATGCCTGAATCTGGACAGCTACAGGGGAATTGCCCAGTAAATGAGCACAACCACTACATCCCTAAGTACATAAGCCCAGGCCCTGCTATTAGGCGTTCATACACCCTTAAGCAAAGATCCAGCCTAGATGAATTTTCATAAATGAAATCAATTCACTTTGCTTAAAAACTCGATCTGAAATTAGCCTCTCTCCTGTCATTGCTTCAAAGTGAGTGATCTTAAACATACCTTGTGATGTGTCCCTGGGAGCCAGACACATTTCTGCAGACAGTCTGGTTAGGCCAATATCTTCCAAATTTCTGAGATATGTTTAAAGTATGCTCATTCATATGCTATCGTATGCTGTGATCTTTAACACAAATTAGACAGACACATCAGCTGCACACATTTACCTAAATTAGCATGCTCTATAGGTACCTGGAAACAGAACATTTTTATCTCTTCTCAGTATCAGCTAAACAAATTTCCCCAGGATAAAAGCACTTGATTTTTAAGTGTTTGAGTTCATCCATTTGTGCTATCAACCATTGGCAGAAATCATGCAAAGTTCAAGAAAATGAAGAGTAACTGTGGAAGTGTGGGGTGGGGAGCACTTAGCTGGCTAAGGACACTCACAGGAGTAAAGTGAGGCAAAAACCTCAGAGTCACAATGAAAGCACTTCCCAGAATAATGCCCATCATTGTCACATGGCCGGCTTATCACAGCAGCTAGTTATTATGATGCATCATTGCTGAATCCACTCCCAGGGCTTTCAGAAACAAGCTGTCTCATCTCTACAACTGCCCTGATTTCCAGTTACGTTCTTGAATAAGCTCCTTGGATAAACTCAAGGTGAATAGCTCTAGAACGCCACTGCACATAATTAATCAGGTTTGAAAAATGGTCAACAAATTTATTTTAAATTAAGTAACTGTTTCCTCTAATCAGTTTTTGAACTAAAAGCCTTTTGCTTCCAACAAACAAGGAATATACAGATCTAGATCTTTAGATACAGAATATCTAGATCTATTTATTTATTTATGTATTTATTTATTTGGAGTTTTTATATGCTGTCCCACTACTTAATGCCTCGGGATGGCTTACATAAATAAAGCCGTATATCTATATATCTACATAGATCTAAAGGAATATCTAGAGCTAACTAAATGCATCCATATAGACACATGAGAAAACTGAATTGTGGATGGCCATTATATTAATAGCTTCCTGACTGCAGGGCTAGAAGAGTGGCACTTGCTATTTCTTATGCAAAACATGCTTCCTCTTCAGAGTCATTCATGGCAAAACTTGGTATTAGCCATTCCCAATGTATACTGGATAAGACAGGCCAAAAAGCTGGATTAACAGCTTCCCCCCCCTCCCCATTACTAGGCTACCATACTTCTTTGTTAACCAAGAAAAGCTCTTCAGTACTATAAATATCTACAGCATAACATGCTATGAACTACATTTAGTTATGTACTAGTGTGGAATTGTTTTGATTTGATTAAATGTGCAGGAACATATCCAGGTCAATCTATGCAAGGCAAGGAATGGGTTTAAACCAATCTGAGAATATATTTACTTCCGTCTACTTGCCACTGTAGAGAGGAATAGAAGGCAAACATATTTTTAACTGAAAAGCAGAACTGGCAATTTCAGTAGCTATATTTGTTACAAACCAGAAAGAATTATTTTAAAAATGTGAAAAATACTGTATTTTCTGTAGAATTTGAGTGAGTGAGCTGTACAGGTATATAAGCACATCAGCAGCGACATTTAGCTTCTGGCTGGCAGCCAACACCGCCCATCACCAAGATTTAACACTGAAGGGAACTTTGAAATGTCAATATTCAATATGTACGTTGTTAATATCATATCTGATAGTAGGCAGCTTTGTGCAAACCCAATTTAATCACACATATATTCCTATGTTTGTGCTACACACACACACACTTACCAATTAGTAAATTCTTACTTTGCCTCGAGAAAGTATTCTGAAGCAAGGAGGACTCAAGACTTTATGCTGAGCCTTCCTAAGGCAAGAAAGCAATGACTAAAGCGTCTTCAAGAATAGCAACAGCATTCTTGCTCATAGCAAGGCGGCTAACAGCGATACCTCAAGAAAAGCGGAGAAAACGAAGCACTGTGGCCTCAGGTATTCTACTGGGTCTCCCAATAATAACTGACACAAGGGTACCATGCTGAGCACTGGTGTGTGAGGGTTTGGAGAGAAGAGGTAAGATACTCTGCCTTCCAACCCAAAAGCAAAAGATAATGATTAACAAATGCAGAAGAACTTGTGCCTCTTTGGAAGCAATGAAAGCAGAGAAGGTTCACTTGATCAGTTTTGCTGCAAACAAGAGAAATGCCAGACCAGGGGTGAGTAATTTGCAGTCCTCCAGAAGTTTTGGCCTGCAATTCACACCACCCCTCACGACTAGCTATGCTGGCTATGGCCACTGTGAGCTGAAGGCCAACACGTCTGGAGGACCAGAAGTATTTTCTTCGGATGATTCTGCTCCACTTTCCCAGAGGAACTGACCTGGCCTTCTGGTGCACAGGGGTCTATTCTGATGGCTGCCCCGTCCCTGGGCAGGATGCCCAACTTGTCAATGCATCACCAGCAGGACATGGCACACTGACGCACGAACCCCGAGTTTGCACCCACCACCCCCTTCCTCAATAGCAGTGACACAAAGCAGCCTCTGTGGGAGACGTGAGACGTGGGAGAGAACTTCGGCTACTGGGCGGCACAGAAATTAAACAAACAAAGTGAATATACACAGCTGTAACTGGAAAGCCTATGGAAGCTGTCACTCCCAGGCAGCAGAGACACCACCGCCCAGTGCAGAAGATAGCCACATTTAATAAAAGCCCCTTCTGCTTTTCACCACTGATGTCAAGGGGAGCCGTTCTCTTAAACAGGAGAAAGAAATGGGAATACAATGACCAACACTGCTGAGCAAGAGCAAAATACAGGCCCCATTCCAGAAACAGGTGGCCACAACATCAGATCTCCCCCTACCTGAATGTCACTGATTGCATCTCCTTAATTTTCTTCTGCAGAAGCCAAAGAGGGGTGTTCAGGTTCATGGAATAAGGTAAATTTGGACTGTTATGGTGATAGACTCCCTGCATATTGGTTGGTAGGCAGATTGTCTGGAAGCAACATATACAGTATTAGCACACTGTCTCTTACAGTAGCAATCCAGTAAAAGCTATCAGCTTACCCATTTCCTCTCCTCCACTGTCTCGGGCCCACTTGGCAACCGCTATCCATACTTTCAACTATACCTGAAAGCCCAGCAACATTTAAAGGTGCTGCAAAAGATCTGTAATAGCAACTAACCAGCAAGTAAAATAATATCTCGTTGCTACTCAGAGGTGAAGTATGTACTATGGCACATCAATCTACCAATACCCTTGTCCTTGAATTGCTGATTTTAAACCTGAGCAAAACATACATTTGTATAATGTGGCTGCTAAAAAAAACAAACCCTAAGCTTGGGAACAGGGAAGGCATACTGATTTATTTTAGGACGTTACATACCAGGGAGGGTTCGAGAAAGAAATAGGAAATAACACTGAGTTTTGTACATCAGCCAGATCGCTAAAGAATCCGACATCCTCTTTCCAAGCACTCATCAACCTTTACTATAAATAAGGATGCCAGCTGAAAGCAAGTAAGTACAAAACCACAAGATGAACAATGTCAGTATCTTCTAGGCTTCTAGCAACTCATTAATAGTCATCCAAAATCCAGCTGGAAAGGGAAGAAAACGAGGCTTTACTCACAATCTGTCCTTGACTCCTCACAAGCACAAAGGATTTAAATACAGACTGCAGAATGACAGCATGCCACATCTTTGCATTTGCTAGATCCTGGGGTGCTTTCAATTGAGCATCCTGTAGTTGATTTATTCAGAATTAGCACAAATGGCAACTTGCTAATAACTGTCAACATCTTGATAATTTTACATATGTCGAATAATTACAGAGCACTGTTTCACTGTCAGCACATTTTCATAACTTAGACTGTTTTCTTCAAAAGGATACACAATTAAAAATAAATATAAGCCACTTTTAGCCAACAATCCTACCCACACTTACCAGAAAGTAACCCCAACTGAACTTACTAGAACTTATTTTTGCGATGTACACAGGACTGAACTGTTAAACTGTCACTAGTCGCGACTCTTTACCCAGGAACAATTCACTAGTGGTTAGAATTTCTCCAAGGTCAAAGTGAGACCAAACATGAAACATTTTGCCCATTCATCAGTATTTCAGCCTGCTGCTGCATTTGCTGGAACAGCTATCCAGTGATTGGACAATGGGATCATAAACAATAGCACATTCTGAAACCTAATCTGTGCAGCTTTTTCTGCTAACACGATTCCGAACTGAACAGAGCTGCTCTTTTTAAGGGGTGGGGAGGAAGCGAGGAAGAAGCTGTGCCAGGAGATGGGTATCACACCCCCCCCCCAGAAGAAATTACTTTGTTTTTCACATTTTGTTTTGGTAAAGGGGCTTCCTAGCACTGAAACAGTCCTTTAACCCATCCACTGGTGTGACCAAGTTCCAGGACAGCTACATGCAGTCACGCTAGCCTTTGCGCAGAGGAAAACTTTCGCAGATGCAGAAAGAGAAGCACATCACTGATTACAAACGCTTCGGAAAGGTTAGAAGGCAGGAAACACCTACTTTGTTACCATCGCAAGGAGGGAGGGAGGGACATAGAAACCTGCCCGATGCCAAGCCTGACCATTGCTCCATCCAGCCCAGTCTTTGGCAGCAAATACTCCAAGGTTACAGGAAGGAGCTCACCCCACCCTACCTGGTGCAAGCACTCTACTCCTGAGCAACAACCCCACCGCTAACCTTCATGGGCAGGAATTAGCAGCAGAGAATTGAGGTTCCAAATCTACCCACCACCCAGCAAGAGAAGAGGCTTTTATCATTCGCAAAGGTATCCGAAGAGCAGCAAGGAAGAAACCCCGCTGCAGCAACGCAGGGCAGAGACGAAGGGAAGGCACGGCGTCTGCTCCGTGCTATGAGGCGCGATGCAGGCAGCCGCTTCCGGGGCGGGGGGCTCCGACATGTGGCTGCCAGCCCACAGGTGCCCCTTCCTCCAGGGCCGCCTGCCCTCAGGACAATGGAATGGAGGGGACGCGGGGGGGGGGGGGGGGGAATGGGGCGGGGGCGGGGCGGGGGGGCGTGCACGGCGGGCTCCCCGCCAGCCCCTTCGCGCGGCTGCAGCGCCCCGCGCCCGCCTGGAGGGGCACCTGGGCCGGGCGGGGCGCGGGGAAGGGGGCGCCGGGGCGCGTCCGGCCCCCCAGGGGCTCCGCGGGGCACCTCCGCAGGAGCGGGCAGCCCGCCGGGGCTGTGTCTCGGGGGAGGGGGCAGCGGCGCGGGGGCGCCCCGTCCTTACCGTAGACCCGGAGCCAGCCCTGCAGCTGGCACACCGACTCCCGCAGGATCCGCTCCAGCGTGCTGGCCGCGCCGGCCAGGTCGGCGGGGCCCGGCAGGGAGTGCTTGAGGCGCTCCAGGCACGGCTCGCCCGCGTCCGCGGCCGGCCGCGCCGAGGCGACGCCGGGCTCCATCCGCCGCCGGAGCCCCCTGCTCAGCCAGCCCCTCGGCCGCCCGCACCGGCCGCTTCCCCCGGTGGGCCCGCCCCCTTCGCGGTCACCGCGGCCCCGCTCGCGCCGGCGCCATCCCGGGGACGGGCTTGCCGGGGGTCCCCTCCGCCGCCGCCGCCGCCGCCGCCGCCACAGCCGGGCTGCGCCGTCCCGTCCGCGGCTTCTCCCTCAGCGCCGGCGGCGGGCGGCATCCCAGGGAGATAGGCAGGAGCAATGGAGCGCCGAGCCGCTGGCCTCCCGCCTCAGGCAGGCGTGGACGGACAGCGGCCGGCCGCGGCGCAGCCACTGGGCCAGGCGCGCTCAATCGCCCGTCGAGCCGCGCGCGCCCTCCCGAGCGGCGGGGGCCCCCGGCGGCGCTGATTGGCTGCATGCAGATGAGGCGGCGGGCGCCACGGTGACGGCCCGCCCTCGCGGGCTCCGGGCCGGGCTCCCTCGCGGGCCCTTCGCCGCCGCCGCCTCGCGCTCCCCTGCCCTGCCGCGGGGCCTCCTCCGCGGACGCTCCCGGCGTGTTCGCAAAGCACCGCAGCCGCGCCGCCACGCTGCTGCTTCCAGGGGAAGTTCTGGCTCGCGTGGCTCCGAGACCCACGTCTTCGTCTTTCAGGGGATGTGCAAAGTTCTCCACGACTCCAGCGCATCCCCTTTCTTCTTAACGCACCCAGTGCACCCGCCTTCTGCGCCGTTCAGCTTTCACCCTCATGCAGAGAGACTGGGAATACAAGACCGGGGGAATGGCCAGAGCTGAGACACCAGGCTAAGGTGCATCCACCTTCTTCGGGAGGAAAGGTCCCAGCAGACAGCAGAAAAAATGGGTCTCTTTACTGGTGATGGAGGCAGAATCATAGAATAGTTGAGTCCAAAGGGGCCAAGAAGGGCTTTGGGGTGCAACCCCCGGCGGGTGCAGGACACCAATTACACCATCCCACTCAGAGGGCAGTCCAGTTTCTTTCTGAATGTCTCCAGTGTGGGAGAGCCCCCCACCTCTCCTGGCAGCTGCTTCCACTGTCGTGTTGCTCTGGCAGTTAGGAAATACTTCCTTGAGACTAGGCTGATGCCCTGTAGTTTAAGTTCACTATTCCATGTCCTGAGGACAACTGCACGGAGGATTTTTTTCTCAGACAATGGCAGTGATGCTCAAGCTAAGCCTTGTTAGGATGTTGGAGGAGGAGGCAATGGTAAACCATTTCTGATTACTTCTTACCTTGGAAACCCCGGCCTCATTTTTCCACCCGAAAGCCATTGTTGCATGCCCATGGAATCTGGACACCTCCTGCAGCTGATGCGCTCAAGCCACAAAGGGGAAAATGTAACACCAACCAAGGACAGAAGAAAGGTGGTAGCAATCCAAAAGCTCTTTCTTCGGCTTCCACTGCCAACTCAGACCCTATCATCACAGAGGTGAAGTTAATTTTGCCCCATGAACGATCATTTTGCACTTGTCTGTACTGGCCTACATGCCCATTTCACCCAATTTGGAAAGCCTCCTCACAATGCCTCTTAATTTTAATCACCCTAATAATTGGATGTTTTCAGCCAACTTGGTCACCTCCCTGATCACCCTTAATTCCAGGTCATTTAAGTCAAAATTACCAGTTCCAATATAGATCTTTGGGGATCCCACAGTTTACTTCCCTTAATTCCACCAGTAACTAGCAGGGTTTGAGAGGGTAAGTATAAATTGTGAAGTAAATTCCCTTCGTGTCCCTACCTGCTGAACGTGAGCTACACACCCTTGAATAATGCTGGGCTATCGCCTTTTCCTGCTCTTATCAAACTGGGTGCCTACCCCAAAAGCTTATTTTCTTCAACCCTCCCTCTGATGAACCTGGATATGTGCCTTGAATTTTATCTGTCTGCTCCATGCGTGTTCAAAGTTCAACATGCTGTCCAAGGAAGGCAGAAAGGGAATGTCTGCTCACTTGATTCGGGGTTGCAGCCCTTTAAGGCAAATTCACAGATTCTCCTCGTCACTCTTGCTTCTAGGTGCCTCTGTCTGTTGTTGTCAACTAGCCAGCGCTCATTCCACATCACCCCAGTAACCGACAAAAAGATTTCATTGTGCAATCTGTGGCTTTCTCATTATGACGCATAGATAGTTCTTATTGCTCCTTTGTCCTGGTAGCCCTTGAGTCAACCCAAAATCAGTTTAGTCCCTAGCAGAGGCTGATCTAACCAAGTCTGCAGAATTCTGTATTCCCTCTTAAGCTGGTTGCAAACTCTAGGCTTCCATGGTTTTTTTTTTTCTTGACAGAACAATCCTATATATGTTTGCTCAGAGGAATGACCCACTGCACTGAGAGGGGCTTTTCTCAGAAAAATGAACAGAACAGCAGCCCCATTGCAGCCATTTTTTAAACCCTGCCCTTCAGTACGAGTGCTAACAAATGGAAAGGTTCCCCCCATCCCTTTTATTCTCACAGCAGCCCTGTGAAGTATATTAGCAGAGATAAAGTGACTTGCCAAAGGCCAAGCAATGAGTTTCGTGGACCAGTGAGCGAGGACTGGAGGCTGCATCTCTGGTATCCTGTCTTTTTTGCCTCTCTTCCTTCTTTCCTTTTGCTCTGGCTTTTCTCTCCCTGCCTCCCTCTCATTCTCTAAATGCACGTTTCTGCCCACTTGTCTCATTGGGAAGGCCAGGTGAACACGGGGGGACCCACATCCCTGCGTATCACCTGGCTGTGAAGGAAGCACTCCAGCAGGATGGCTCTGCTGCCCACATTGCTCTTCACCCCTTGCGTTCTTCCTCTGCAAAAGCCGTCAGTGCACAGAGAAGCTGAACATCAAATAAAAAACGTCCAAATTTTAAATAGCATCTGCAAGTGCTTCCCGGGCAATGGTCTGCCAGCCATCACATCTGGGCTCAAACACTGCTCTGCAGGGCAATTCTGGGCATACTTCCTCAGAAGCAAGCACCACCGAGTTCAGTGGAGCATACTCCTGAGTAAATGCATAGAGAACTGCAGCCTTTGAATATTAGGTCCAGCACTGTCTCCTTTTAAGCAGCTATTCGACATCAGAATCCGCAGAAGCAGATTTGGCAAAGGATTAATGGGAGCAATTTATTTCCCACTTGAAACTGGAGTCGTGAGAAGTAATTAGAAACCAGTAATTATTATTTCAAAATATTTAATGAAGGTGCGACCAGGCCCTGAAACAGCACCCTGCACACCATTCTTCCCCATTCCTCATTGTGGTGTGGCCATCCATCGCCCTTCTCCGCCCCACCTGCATACACACAACCACGGAGCCCCAACACAACATCAATGCAGGGTGAACAAACTTTTTCACCCACATGTACAATGGTGGCATTTTGGAAAATATCCCGGGGACCACCACAATTTGCAGTGGTGCCGGTGGGGAAATAACAGAGTATCTGGGAACACCCCCTCTGTACCCTCCCCATCACCACAACACCCCCCCCCCCTTTTCCTGCCTAGCTCTGGATTCCCTCCTCACCTTGCGCGGGATTCCCTGGGACCGCTTGCCCAAATAGAATAGTACGAGGCTAGATGGAAAAGCGGCTTGACTCGGCCTGGTCTTGTCCCCACCGTGCCCGCCAGCTGCTCTGCACTTGCTTACCTCTTGCCTGCCTGCTCCTCAGGGCAGAGCTGATGCAGCAGTGTTGTTTCTGCTCCCGGTCTCCACTGTCCCTCCACTTTGGCATGGGCAGCGAGATCATAAAGGAAGGGTATTGTTGGGAAATCCAGATAAATCCTGGTACAAAAAGGTTGCTCGTATGTGCCTTTGTGTTCTACAATCAACCCTGCAGTATCCCTGCACCTCTTTCTCAGAAAGGACCAGAATTCCAAGCCAGGCTTCTGTTTAGTGTTGTTACTTTAAGAGACTGGAACTCAGATGCCACAAGGGAAGTGAATCCTTCTCTATTCTTTTGCTAATCATTACAGCTGATAAGGCTGGCAGGTTAGTTTTTTCAAGCAGCATTGCACTCACCCTCATTTGCATGCCAAGCACAATAATCCTTGCTTCCCCATTACAGAGGTCAACTCCTGCAATCAATGCCTATTGCATGAAGTCCCTTCTGCAGATCTCTCACATTCTTTTGACTGTGTTCTCCATACTTTGTCATCACCTGCCCTGGCGCTGGGTGACTCAGAACCTCTAAAACAGTCTGTGTTATGTTCTAAAGCTTACAGCTGGTCTCACCCACTACCCAACAGGGCTGTTTTAAGTTGGGTTCTTTGCAAAGGGTGTTTGAGTGCTCCTTCGATAAACTGCTGAGGTTCAAGGCCAAAGGGAGCTTCCCCGCCAAATCCATTTATTCATTTTCCCGGCTGCCATTGAGACGCCCCGTCAGTATGAACAGGCTGGGGGGCTCTTGGCTATGGGCCGTTGGCAGAGGGGTGTCCCTTGGCAAGTGCCAACCTCTGACACCAGCCCTATGGCTTAGAATGAGTCCGTTCACACGTCCCGCGTATCCTGTAGTTCTCCACACTCCCCTCCCTAAAGCAGAAGCAGGAACTGGGGAGGCAGAGTTGG